CCCAAATGTTGAAGTAATTGTATCTTTTTCTTAAAGATAATTGAATTAAACACACAGGTTTAAATGAAGGATAAACGGTTGAATGTATTTTTTTTTTTGTTCTCACTTAAAGCACTCTGAGTCTTAATGCAAGAGCCCCAGTTGTCCAGCATATAGTTTTAAAGAGAATTTACAGCAGAACCCAACCTGGTAAAATTAAAAAGCTATACAAATGTTTATAAGTGTTATTTGCAGAAGTAAATAAATTAAAAAGCTGAAATGCTGTATCAAGTTGCCCCCTAGTGTGTAGATTTTGCAACATACACAAGATTACCTTGTAAACCTGTGGTAAGCACAGTACAGCATGTTTCAGCTTTAACTGGACCATCCTTTTCCTTTTTTTTTTGAGTTTGAGTCCCTTTAATTTAGTTGTGTAATGAATTAGCTTCTTGGCATTTATTTTTAAAATACCTGAAAAAGTTTTGCAGCAGCTTTAGAGTTATAATTTGCCATTAGCACTTTCAGTCTGAGTGTTTTAAAGCACTCTCCAAATGTTTATGATGCCCCCAAGGCAAGTAGTATTTTACAATGGGGAAAACTGAAGCACTGAACAGGTGCCCTGTTCAAAGTCCTGGGTGCAGTATCTGGTAGAATTGCTTTAAGCTTTTGATTTCAATACTGTACTCAAGCAATGAGATCCACTTCTTATCCTTTGTGGTGGACTGTTGGTATGTTTACTCCTTTTTATTAATGGGCGTAATAAATATTGCAGTATGTAAATCTTATACTTGCATATCTATTCAGCTACAGCACCACTATGTCTGAATACAGAGTATATCTGCAGGTATGGGTGTCCAAAGATTCATTTTATGTCTTCGGGTTTGTTTTTTTTTAAGTTTTAAATTAAGAGCCTTAATAATATTTTACCAGTATTCAGTTACACATTACTAATTGCAGAGATTAATTCTAGCTCTTTCAAAATAGACTAACATTTAAGGAAAAAAGCAAGTCAGGGTATTGTACTATAACAGGCACTGTGTTTTATTTGGATTGCTCTAGAGGGTGTATGCATGTGTGTCTTTTTTTTGGGGGGGGGGAGGCGGTTGATTAATTCAGAATTTACTAGAAATGTTCTGTTGTATGTTGTGACCTCACTAAAAGCACTCTGAGAGATGGGGATAAATATGGATTAGCAAAGTGCAGGTTGGTGACAGTTCTGAGGTATCTTTAGGCTCAGATCAAATGTGTTAACTTCCTTAAGAGCATGCACGGATTGTAATGCTATGTTGTGAATGCACGGCTTTTTTGCATTTTGTTTTTACTTTTGGTGTAGATTTCTAAATGACTTGTTTAATTTTCAAATTATCCATTTGCTTGGATAGAGCATGCACCATTGTGGTGTAATGCAGTCACTAAGTTTTAAAGTGCCATTCTACTCCCATTGGTATTAATGGAGAAGCTTCTTTGCTCTTGACTTCAGCCGGAGTATGGGTATTACCTTATTTTTGTTGCTTCCAAAAGCTGTGAGGGTCTCTAATAAGATAGATAATCTTTTTCTTTTCTTTTTTTTTTTTTTTTTAAACTCAAGAGGTAGAAACGTGTGTGTGTGAACTGTAAGACTACATTTCTATGCCTGCTTCTGCAAAGTGTGGTTTAGCACACACTTATGCTACCATTTTATGTTACCGTCTACATGTGTGACAGTACATTAAGAGCAGTGGAGAATTGGGGCCAGCTTTTTAGCCAGATGAAATGCAATATAAAACGGACAACTTTCATAACCAGTTTTCAAGGCTAATACAGATTGCTCAGTGGCCACTTTTCAGATTAATTGTTTAGGTACAGCTTTTATAACATTGGACAAAAATCTGTTTCAAACTAAATCTTTAGGGAGCTATTTATAAACTAGATCAACTTTTTTTTCTAAAAAGCTTGAAGATTCTCCATTGCTTCTGTGTATCAATGTACAAAGATACGTACAGCTATAAAAATACTTTTCAGTGAATAAATTAAAGTTGCACTGGCTTTACATGAATGGTACCAGCAGTTATAGTTTGAAAAACTACGTAGAATACATATGTTTATTTTTAAATAAACTGAAGAAATGCTTTTAATCTTGACAAGAAATGCTACAAAGGCAAGGTCCCTGGGAACTTCATCCAGTGCTGAGACGTAGCAGAGTTTAATTGTAGTACTACCTCAGAGAGTGTTCAGTTAATTTCCTCTGACATGTATCCTCATGCTATTGTCCTTGGCTACTGAAAATATTAACACTTTTTCCACCAGCTTTCTGGTATATTAGTATAGCATAAGCAGAGCTAAACAAACTTATCCCTGGCATAAATTGTAATTTTATTATTAATATACATCTGCACCAAAATAAGAATGGTTATGAATCTCTAGCCTTATTTAAACAAACTGTATCCAAATTAGTGCACAAATTACGTTAATTTAATCTCAACGTAGCCATGTGTATTTCCTTTCAGGGTGTCGATGATGCCTTCTATACATTAGTTCGAGAAATTCGAAAACACAAAGAGAAGATGAGCAAAGATGGTAAAAAGAAGAAAAAGAAGACAAAGACAAAGTGTATAATTATGTAAATACAATTTATCATTTAGTCTTCAGACATACTTAAGTGATTTTTTTTTGTACATTACACTAAATTATTAGCATTTGTTTTAGCATTACTTAATTTTCTTTTTGCTTCATGAATCTGTTTAGTTTTATCTGAATGCTTGTTTAAAAATGACAGTGGGAACATTATTCCTCTTAAGTGCCAGTATGCCTGTGAAAAAACAAACAAACATGAGAATTGTCTTTGGTGCATGCACAGTTGCTAACTTCCTATTTTTCTTATCAGTTGTGAACTTTTGTTGTGTGTGCAAACAATTAATGAAGTAATGGTCCACAGTTGTTTGGTTTGTTTGTTTGTTTTTGTTTTTTAAAACATGGCTTTTACTGTGTTTTGTCTTTCCCTCTAATCTGGTTGGGTAGAAAGACTAGTTAGCCAAACAGACTTTTATTTCCAACATTTGTTTTCTTTTATTCTAGACTGACTGCAATATTGAGAGACCAGAAGCCTTTTATAGTCTTCCTGTAGATTCTGCTTTTAGGCATCTAGTCTTGTAGCATTTCAGATCAACTTTAATGAATGTAAAGAAATAACTTTCACAAAGTTTTTCACTGCAATTTGTCATGGTCATTCTTTAAATGCTATATTTTTTCTAGAAAAAAAAAATTAAAAAAAGACAACAATGCACATCTGGCAATGGAAAAAGTAAAAGTTCTGATTAGATTGAGTTGCTTTGGTAATGCATTGCTTTAAGACTTCCACTAAATTTTTGTTTTTTGGAAGACCTAGGGTGAAGTCCTGCCTCCTCTGAAGCTGGTGGAAAACCTCAAAGTAGCTTCAATTGGTCCAAGATCTTGCCTTTAGTCTCTCTAACAAGTATGAGAGCGCCTTAACAGATTAGTTAATTCAGTCTCTTATTTAATTCATATATGGATTCCAAGTTTATCCAATAATGAGGTCAAGACCTCTTGGCCGTATGGGTGTCAATTCTTCCCCTCCTTCCCTTGTGACATTAAATATTTCCAAATGCCTATTTTGTATATAATAGGAGGCATTTTAAATTCTAGTGTAACCTCTTTAGTTTCAGTAATTGAATAAGCTTGTATTCGGCTGCTTCATGCAAATTATTTGAAAATCCATTGTGCCATAAAAATGATGATATGGAATTTGCACAGAATTCAGTAGACATAGTTGAGATCATGGTTTCCAGAATCAGTGTCATTTTGTGTGATTCTTGTGAAGTGTTAATCCCCCTACCCCTCTGATAAAGTTGGTTAGTGACATAAAAATGTCAGGGTTGTTTCACAGCCAGGTTTGTCAATGTTGTCTTATGATTTCTGGGTTGGAATTGATTCATTATTTTGAAGTTTTAAATGGTAGTACTGCAGTAGTTTGAATTATCAGCACTGAAGTAAGTCAGTAATTCTAGTGTTGTCTATTCTTGTAATTTTGTGAGTCTTGTAGTATATGACTTTTTTTTTTTTAAACCCCAGCTCCTGGATCTGTAAGTTTACATGAGAATCTCAGCTTCCTTTTTTTTGTTGTTTGCTTTTTAAGTGAGCATTTAGCCATTGTTACAAAGTAAGGATTGAAAACATAATCCCCCCCAGTGTATTTTAAAGGATAAATAAGATTAGATAAATACGAAACCATTATTCTTTAAAGCCTTGTGATGTTTTGGGAAGCCTGATTTTTGAATTCTGAAAGCTCAGAATAGGGAAAAGCAGTATCGTGTATCCTAAGTTTTATATCCAAACTTTTAATTGGAGTTTATATACCGAGTTGATAGAGTAGGATTTTAATGCACCAGTGTAACTTGAAGCCACGTGTATGTGTATGCAGGATTACCTTTTTATTCCTACCCACAGAGCAGAGGTGGTCACATTTGAAGGAATTAAAAAGTATACTAAATGGATAGCTCTTAAAGTTGGCTGAGGAAGTAATGAGTCTACTACCTTTAATAGCCTTTAAGATTTGGGCCTGGGAAAGAAGGTAAAATTCTTTGGACGTAGGTAATGCTACCCTTCGTACTGCTTACAATACTGAAAGATGATCATAGGAGAACCTAAGCTTATATTCTAAATAGAACCAATAAGAAATGAGAACAAATACCTATAGATGTTTTAAGCTTCTTTTATTAATTATTTCTAAGGTTAAAACATATTGAAGTTGAGAGTTGTGTTGGTTGTCTTCCCATATTTTAGATGCTAATTATCAATGTATTTTGAATAATGTAGCAGAAGTGGATGGTGTTAACAAATACATGAAATGAAATCTAAAGACTCATGATTTGTAACTGAGTCACACTGCATGCAAACTTGGGGCTTGTCTAAACAGTTCATGCACTGGCTTAACTAAATCCCTAGAAAACTATTGTAGACTTCTGTGGATGTAGTTTTCTCAATATAAAGGTATACAGTAGGGCTTTGTGAAGCTTCAGTGGCTGATTCGATTTGACGGAGATTTGGCCTGATTCGGTGGCTGAATCTCCAAATCCAAATTGAATCAGGAGACCCTTTAATCTCTCCGAATCTAATTGGAACCCTCCGAATCAATTCAGAGAGATTCAGAAAGATTCAACAAATTGAACATAGGTACAGCTTTAAATGTTTTTTCTACATACCTCAAGGTACCGGGCGGCTCATGAATGCTGAGATGCTGGGGCAGATGGAAAGTCCCACTGGAGCACAGGTAGGGGTGGGTCCCCAGCAGTACTTCCAGTCCACTTCCAGGTCTGCCGGGGAGCACGCTGGCTTCCTCCCCCCCGCCCCCTTTATGGCTCAGTGACTGGTACCTCCTGGGTCTGGCAGGGCACCCGGGGTCCCCCCATGCTTCTGTGGGATACTCCACCCACCCCACCATTTAAGCGTTCGCAAGCTGTGCTTGGTACCTCGAGGTATGTAGAAAAACATTTAAAGCTGTGTCTATGGCTGATTCGCTGAATCAGCATCGAATCTTCAGAATCGACTAATTGAATCATTGTCCCCAGTTCGGGCTGAATCCAAATTGAATATGACCCGTTTCGCACACCCCTAATATACAGCTTATTTTATCTGGTTTATTCTGTAAACTATCAATTTTGTTAAATTTGATACAGAAATGGTTTAGAACAAGTCCTTTTGTGATTTTTCACAAAACACTTGTCCTTGCCACTGTTGTGCAGTTTTGTCCTAATTGTAGAGATTTGGTGAAGCATGTTGGATTGTAGCTTGCACAATTTCATCTCTTATTCTGATGTCTTTTCCTATTTGAAATGCTTTCAGAAACATCCAGATACTTTTTCTGATGGTAATTACAAAATGAACACGCAATGACACTTACTACATTAATACACTAGATTTCCATGTGTCAAGGAATAATGCCTTATAGTAGCTTTGTGTAACTTGATAGACAATCCGTATAAAAAGGTTGTCATTTATCTCAGAAGTGAAAATTGTTTTTGTTTGTTTTAAAAAACACAATAAGGACCAGCACAATAGTCCTTGAGTGACTTAATGAGAAATTTAACAGTCCAGCATGCAGTACAGCAATATTGTTTTTTTCCTATATGTAAATACTGTTATGTAAACTTCATATCTTTTGTTTGTCCTGTGAAGCAATGCAGCTGTTACTTTCAAAGGACACCAAGCTGTAAGCAAGTCAGGGTTTTTTTTATTTGTTTGTTTAGGGTTTTTTTTTGTTAATTCTACATAAAGCTACATAAGCATTGAATCTTTCCTAACTAACATTTCTTAATTCCACTGTCTTGTGTTTTCATGTTGAAAATACTTCTGCTTTTTCCTCTCCAGTGCCAACTTCTTACTAGAACAATTTCTTAATGTAATATGTTTACCTGGAATGTATTTTAACTATTTTTGTATAGTGTAAACTGAAACATGCACATATTTGTACATTGTGCTTTTTGATGTGGAACATATGCAGTGTGATCCTTTTACATCATTTGGCTGTGTGACCAAGGAATGTTGGTCATACCAGATATTACATTTTTTTAAAAATGACCACTGTTTAAACTTTTTAATGTTGTTTTATAGGAGTATGTGCTGTGGGGTGATCTGGAATTTGTCATTTTTGTCAAACTGTACTGCTCCTATTAATTGTAATGTAATAAAAGATAGTTATTGTGAGTCTTTGCTGTTTAATTTGCTGCTGCTTTGAAGAATTTAAGTGCTAATGTCTTATAGTTCAATAGCTGACCAACTTCATGTGTTTTAATAGCTTCCATCTCAATTTCCTCTTACATATTCAATTGCCAGCCAAACTGGCCTCGTCTCTGCCCATCAGTGTTTGTGCAAAGAAAACCTATTTTACCTTACCATAAGCCATTCTGTTCAGAGAAGTCTTTCCTTATGAAAGCTTCAGTGAATAAACTGGGGCATAACACTAAGTCAGCGATTTTTTCAACTAGGGTGATACAAGATCCTTTAAGGGTGACCAGCACCTAGCCCCTGTGTGAGGGAGGTAAGTGCTCCCAGCATCCTGTGGGCAAGCAGTACCTGCAGCTGCTCCTCTGGAAACTGCTGCTGCCCTTCACCTCCCAGCAGTCCCTGTGTTGGGACTGTGTTGTCCCCACACTCCAACACTGCACTCTGCCATGGGTGGCTGTGAGGATATGGAGCTATGCTTCTCAGTCCGGCTTGTGTC